TGTTACTTGCCTAGAGTCATGTATTTTAGAGATATAGTTCAGTCAAAACAAGAGATTAATTTAGACCTGATATCACAAACAGGCAGCCCACAAGATAAGGAGGCCCAGACAGTATATGGTTCTGGTTTGTTTGTTTATTTTTAATTTCAATTAAGGTTGAACATGGCAGACTGAACAAATGTGTTTATCTCCATTCCCTCATGAAATGTCACTAAAGTGATAGTAAAGTAATAAAAATAGTATGAACCCCTGATGTTGAAGAGGACAAGAAGAGAGGTGATAGAGCACAAGAGACGCAAATAAACTTTCGGAAAGCAGAAGGTGAATTAAGGAGTGGTAACTAATTTAGCAAAGGAAAAGCAGAAACTTAAGTGCCTTCAGAAGGCAATAGTAACAAGAAGCTATGCAATCTGCCCTTTGGAACCCTAGAAAGTCTTAGAACTCAGAAGTAACAGACTTTAGAGTGCACTTGAAGGCTAAAGACCGAGGTGGGTGGAAAGTCTCTTTGAGGAGCAGTTGGACCCTCAAGACCCCTTTCCTAGTCCACGTGGTTTGGCAACTCCCCTTATGCTCACCCCCAAGGAGATCAAATGTTTACTCTTTAGAGGGATTGAGTCTGAGCCACCTTAGACTTAAGGACATCTCATACAGCGGAGAGCTGAGGCAGGGGGCTTAATTGAAAATGTACGTACAGAACTACTGAGAAGCCCCAAGCTCCCTTCTCTTCTCTTCCCTAGCCCTACAGCACCAGCAGCCAGACTCAAACAGCTAGGAAGTCCTCTCTGAAAACCTGAACCACCCCGAAGAAAAGCCCTAATGTAACCACAGGACCAGGAACAGAATTTGCCCCCACAAAATATGCCTCTTGGGCATAAGGGCTATTTTGAGTTGATGATTATTAAAAAAACACAGCAGACATAGGAAAACCTCTGAAAACCAAGCAGAAGTTACCCATTTCTAAGGGAAATGTACGTTTATAAGAGAAATCTCTGTTTGTAAGGATGCCTCCACCTCTGTGCCAGGAAGAGAAGGATGACTCTAAATCTCTAGAAACTCTTATCAGTAGAGAAGCCAGTGACTTAAATCTGCACAACAACTTTACCCTTGTTTATTGTGCTTTTCCTGGTAACCTCCCATAACTGACCTCGTCTTAACGACAGGATGTTAAAGCTGTTTTTCAGGGGTGGCAAGCCAGGAGCACATGCAGAAAAGAAAATTTTGATCCGCCAATCAAAACTTATCCTGCCAGAGTTGAGGGGTGGGCACAAGGCACAAGGGGTGAAGGGGCACATTTATATGGTGACTGACAAATAATAATGTACAACTGGAATTTTACAATGTTATAAACTACTATGACATCAATAAAAAAAAAAAAAAAAGCTTATCCTGCCAGTGCTTCCACATATCAGCTTGCCCTCCCTGATCCTTTAAACCTTACCCCTCACCTTGGACTGGGAGACAGAGTTGAAAGCCTGTCCTTCTATCTCCTTGCCAGTCGAACGCGCAATAAACTGCTGCTTCTCTCAAAGATGGTATTGGCTTCTGTGCGTGTCAGGTGGCGAGTCCTTGCTCAGTAACACTAATGATATTGATATTTGGGAGCTCCAAAGAAAAACTCAGATGTTGCCCAATAACCCACGTCTAACCCAGCAGCCAGTCAGCTCTGCCCTTGCATCTAGAGCTTACAAGCAGCTTCTTAATGCTTCCCTCTGAGTATCAACAGACAACCAAGGAGCACCATGCATTTAAGAAAATCCTCCAACATTCAAGAGACAAAACAAACAAAAATATAAAAGAAATAAGGAACCATAAAAAACAAATTCAATGGAAAGAGCAGAAGAAAACTTTAAAGAAATAGAGAAAGATGAGATATATGGCTGTAAAAATGCAAAGTCAGAGATCGATCAAGAGACCAGAAATTTTTAAATATGACAGTTGAAATTTTTTCAAAAATCTGTAGAAGAGATGGAAAATAAAACCAGGAAATCTCCATGAGATCAGAACAAAAAGATACAGAGATAGGCAAAGGGAAAGAAATGATAAGAAAATCAGAGAATCAGTCCAGGGGATTCCATATTCAATCAATAGACATTCCAGGAAAAAAAAAAAAGCAGAGGGGAAATTACTATGAAGGAATTAATACAGGAAAATTTTCCATTCAAGAGTCTTCAGATGAAGGGCCTACCAAGTGCCCAGCACAATGAATAAAAAAATCTGCAAGGCCCAGATATACCATCATGAACTTTCAGACACCCAGAATAAAGAGCTTCTAGAGAAGAGAAACTGAAACCACTCAAAGGACCAGGAATCAACAATGAGAATCGCTTTGGAATTCTTGATAACATTATTAGATGCTAAAATCCAGTGGAGAAATGCCCTTAAAATTCTGAGTGAAAAATATTTTTCACACTCAAGTTCTTTACCCAACCAAACTATTAAATAAATGTGTTGTTGCAAATAATCCATAATCAATCTATAAATCAAAACTGGGATGAGTTTATTACGAGCCAGATCTGGGACTAGCCCGAGGCCTTCCTTCCTTGGGCCCAAGAAGTAGGGTGATCAGAGTGGTTACATACCATCTCGGAACAAAGAACATACACCACATATGATAGGAATGTCCCTTTTACGATAGTCACGAGATTGCTTTGCTGGCACAGCAGATTGGTGAACACAGCATGTCGGTGGTGACACAGCGAGTGGTCACAAGGTCACAAGCAGGTCAGTAATTGATCCCTAGTTTAGGGAGAGATGCTTATCCTAAAGGAAATGCCGATATGGGGGAAGTTACATCTCTATCTTTAGGGGCATCATTCTTGTCTTTGGGACACAGTAAATATTTAAAGCAGATGTACAATGCATGCTCAACAGGCCACATCAGGCCCTTTTGGAAAAACAAGGTCAGGCTGAGTTAGTTTTAAACCAAATGGTTTCCTCATATACTCCAATATATCCTATTGCTTTTCATTTATTTATCAAATGTGAAAGTAGAAATCTCCAGACATACAAAGACAAAAAATGTACCTCTCACACACTCTTTCTATGGAAGCTATTGGCAGCTTCACTTCAGCACAGCAAATGAGGAAACTAGACAGAGGAGGACCAGCATCCAGGATAGAGGGGCTCTAAGTCAGGACAGTGCCACGGGCAACTCTAGGAGCACAACGTACAGCACACCTGTTGAAGTTGATCCACTCCAGGGGGTGGGATTCAGGAATGTGAGGGGGTCGGGCAAGATATTTCTCTATTTTATTATAAATTTTCTATATCTTGTGATTTTTTTAAACCAGTATATGTGTTACTTTTATTAAAAAACAAATATCACTTTCAGAAACTTTTCATTGGTTATGATATGTAAAAATTAGGAGATTTCACATAAAAACTAAGACTTGTGGTTTGTATCACTGAAGATGGGCTAGTTTAAGACACAAAGGACCCAAAACTCAACATTTAAAAAAAAAATTTATTTCTTACTATGCTATATGTCCTTAATGAGCTGAAAGGACCTCTGTTTATCATATCTGTGATATTGTGATTTATAAGAAATACATATTTGATCTTTGTCTACAGTTTCTGCCTCACAGCTCTCCAAATCCTTGGGATTTCTTGAGCTATAAGCGTAACGGGAGCATCTTTTGTCATAATATTTGGCGTCTGATCCTCAGTTCCTGAAATTGCTTCAAAGCCGTAAAGGTGAAATGGGTGTTTTGTGATTCATAACAAGTCCCTTTCCACCATAAGTGGGTTTATATTAATGAGGTGACTTTCAGAAAGCACCTAAGGATGGGGGCTGGTTGCCAGGGGAAACAACTAAGTGACTAGTAGGTTGGAACCTTCCATCCTACCTCCTGATCTCAGGGGAGGGGAGAGGGGCCGGAGGTTGAATCAGTCGCCAATGGCCATGATTTAAGCAATCATGCCTATGTAATGAAGCTTCCACAAAAACCCAAAAGGACGATGTTCTCAGAGCTTCTGGGTTGGTGAGCACAGGGAGATTTGGGGAGATTGGCATGCTTGGGGAGGGCATGGAAGCTCTGGGCCGTGTCTCCATACATGGCCCTATATATCGCTTTATCTGGTTGTTGATTCGAATCCTTTAACATCCTTAGTAATAAATTGGCAATCTAATGAGTAAATGGGTTTCCTGAGTTCTGCCAGCCACTCTAGCAAATTAATCAAACGCAAGGAAGGGGGACATGGGAACCTCTGATTTATAGCCAGTATGTCAGAAGCACAGATAACAACCTGGACTTTCAATTGGTGTCTGAAGTGGAGGGTAGTCTTGTGGCACTGAGCCCTTAACCTGTGAAATCTGGTGCTATCTCCGAGTAGTTAGTGTCAGAACTGAGTTGAATTGTAGGACATCCAGCTGGTGTCAAATAATTGCTTGGTGGTGTGGGAAACACTCCTCGCGCCAACATGTGGAAATGCTTTAGTATCACTCAAGGAGATGAAACTGACAGAGGCTCTATCCCAAAACATGTTCGAGTGATTTGAAAGGAAGGAGAAAGAGAACATACAGAACCATGCACTGTTTCTTAAAGCTTCTGCCTGGAAGTAACATATATCACATGCCTGAGTTCATCAGAATAGGATTATTTAATCCATTTATAGAAGGGAATATCACTGGGCCCATGTTTATTTTTAGCAGAATCTGCAGGAGCTGAGTAGCAATTATTCCCTTAAATACATATGCACACTCAAATTTGCTAAAATCTTCACTACACCCCAATGTTCCCCTGACACAGAGACTGGTATTATTTGCCACTCATTATTGCACTTGGAATTTTTTGTAGTGTTGGCGAAGAGGGAGACTCCCCCACCACCCTTTCCCTTAAGGTTCTTATGACTGGCCAAATAATTAAAAGACAGATTAGCAGGAGAAAATAACACCAAGTTTAATAGCATGTATACATGGGAGAAACCAGGGAAAATGAGTTTCTCAACAAATAGCAAAGGTTTTCACCTTAAATACTATCTTCAGCTAAAGGCAAAGGAGGATGTTGGGGGTAGTGGTTTGGGATTTCAGAGAGGAAGAAGACAATTTACATGGAAAGGGAAATGTAAGTGTTTGTCAGACAATTCTTTACAGGGCCACCTATAGAGAATGTGGCCGGAGAGACAGAAATCACAGTAATGAAGAGTATGTAGATTTAAGTCCCTTCCTTCCATACTGATAAGAGTTTCTACAGATAAGGCCATCCCCCCTCTTCCCAGTACACAGAGGGAGATACCTTTACAAAAGTAAATATTTGGTAAACAGAACTTTGAAAAGAAGGGGCTTAGCAAGGACCTTGCCAGTCTGTCCATACCCAGAGTTAAATTCCTGTAGGCAGTTAGTGGGGGAGGTCAAATGTCCGTCAGAGAAAATAATCAAGGTAAAGAGACATATTTCAGGGTGGCCAATTTTGATCTCCCACAGTAGTATAGTATTTTTAATAGTAGCAATAAAAATATAATGAAATATTTCTTTATACCCATGGAGGAAAAAGAAAAGTAGATCAAGAGAATTTAGTGTTTCAAGAAAAATAGAATAAATCATATTTCATAATAGAAGTGAAAAATACACCTATGAATTTAGTTTGCAAACAAAGCATACTTTCTTGTATACTTATTTGCTTTACCTTCCTGATATGGTTTTGTGGCGAATCAGAATTGGCCACCCCAAAATGTGTCTCTTTGGCTTGATTATTTTTAAGAACAAAAGACTCTGAAGGAGACTATGACCTTTCCCCTAACTGCCTAAAAGAATTTAAGATAGAAGGCATGTTCCAGGAAGGAACTAATACCATAAGTTAATTGTATTGTAATATAAAATGTGTCTCTCAGGTCACATTTCACATTATCTAAAGACAGCTCAAGACGGCCCAGCAAACACTGGTTTAACAAACATTTACATCTCCATATAAATTGCCTTCCTCCCCTTTGAAGCCCCAAACCACTAGCCCCAACATCCTCCTTTGTATTTAGCTGAAAATGGTATTTAAGGTGGTGGCTTTGGCCATTCTGCGATTTACTCAGCTTTCCTGGGTTTCTCCCATGTGTACATGTTATAAAGCTTTGTTTGATTTTCTCCTGTTACTCTACCTCACGTCAATTTAATTCTTAGACCAGCCAGAAGGACCTAGAGGGCAGAGGAATTGTCTTCTTCCCCTACAGTTTAAATTGTGTCCTCCCAATATATATGTGTTAAGTCTTAACCCCTAATACCTCAGAATGTGACCTTATTACCACCCAAAAGGGGGTTTGTCTGCTGGCCACAAGACATGTCAATAGTCAAGAGGCAAGTAGGAAAGAAAGGACTTTTTATTACAGCTTGCTAGCAAGAAGGAAGATGGCCAACTAATGTCCGGAAAAAAAAACATCTTAAGGGGCACAAAATCTTACAGCAGTTATATAGGCTGGTTGGTTATAGGGGAGGTGGTTAGGAATGTTGACCTTCTGATGTTACAGACTGGGAGTGCCACACCAGATCTTTCAGTTTTCATTGATGATGGCTATCAGCAGAGACTCTCCGTTCGGGGATCATCACATTCCTAAGGAACTCAAAAGAACAAAGTTATCATCTTACTGCAGCTGGGAGGTCCATGCACAAGCAGGGGTCATAACATCTACAGAGCAGTTAGGTCTCCTGGAGGGTGCATAGCCAGCTGGGTTAGTTTGTCAGAGGTCATTCAAAGTTATAATAGTGCTTCTTTTCTACAATATGGCTTCCCTTATGTCAACCTTGTGTTGAGCTGATATCAACCTTATTTGGAGATACAGTCCTTGCAGACATAATTAAAATGAGATCATCCTGGAGTAGGGTGAGCCCTTAATCCAATATGATTTGTGTCCTTAAAAGAAGAGGAAAAAGAGAAGCTGGGAAGAATGCCATGTGACCATGGAGGCAGAGATTGGGTTTATGTAACACAAACCAATGAATGCCTGGGGCTACCAGAAGCTGGAAAGGGCAAAGAATTCCCCCCTTGAGGTTTCAGAGAGAGTGTGGCCCTGGCATCATGTAGATTTTGGACTTTTGGCACCTAGAACTGTGAGGGAAAAAATTCCTGTAGTTAAAAGCCACTCAGACTGTGGTACTTTGTTACAGCAGCCCTTAGGAAACTAATATACTTTCTAATCCCTGTAGGACCAGACCCTCTTACTTCCAATTTGGAGTCTTTCTGAACAACAGAGCTGGGAGATGACACTACTAAACTCCTTACTCAAATTCGGCATTTGTCTCTTTGAGTGAAGACTTCCTTCTTTCATTACATTTTTAACGGTGACACAGCAGACTGCCAAAATCGTTCTGATGCTGATAGTGCCAGTCAGCAAGTCATGAACAATTCATCACCGTTAGTTCATGTGGGCACAGGACTGCGGACTTGCTGGATTAAGTGCTACACAAGCCACAGTCCCATTAGAAAACTGGGCTCTCCAAAGAGGGGCATATGAGCCCTATAAATCACTAGGGCAAGCTAAGATTGGAGTTGAGAGTTCTGAGCAGCTAGGAGGGAGCAAATTCCAGGTAAACCAGCTGGGGTTAAAATCCAAACTGAAGGGCATGAGCCAAAAGATCATTCCTGAAAGCAAAGATGGGAGTGTAGTCTCTGGCTCAGAACAAATAAGTAAACCCACAAAAGGAGCACAATGGATGATGACAATTTGTTCTAGAACAGAGATCAGCTGCCCTCTGCAGGGATGGATCTAGTAGGTCTTGGCTGAGTGAAGGTCTGTCTTGGGAAGGCCAGGCAGCTCTGGGGAGGCTGAGGGAGCACGTTCACAGGTGGTCTTCTGGCACCTGGTGCCTTCCCTCAGTGCTACCTAGGAGAAAAGTCACACCAGTCGAAGTGAGATGAGCCTATCTATCTGAGTCAAGTACCTGAACTACGGCCTGGAGTTTCACTAACTTAAAAGATGCTATGTTGTCAATAGCAAGACATAGCATATTTTGCCTGTAAATGCCAGGTTATTTGGGAAGATGATATTTTAATTGCTCGTTGGTAGTCTAGCCTTGATTTCTAATCTCACAATTCAGGGCTTAATGTCTTTTCATTTGTGTTGTGTCAAAACTGTCCTCACTGCATTATGTTTGTTGTGCTTTCTCCATTTTTCACAGATCATATACTTTTTCATTAGGGGATTACAACTCGTATCTTTATTTTCCATCATGTTCAATCAGTTATAAGTCTCTGAAATTATGACCTTATTCTGTATATACAAAGGCACCTTAATACTAAAGGGCTAATTAATTTGGACTTTCATCCTGTGTTGCCTCCCTATCCTCTTTAGTAAAACAGCCAGAGCACATCATTTGCTAGTGACTTTTATACTGAGCACTAATTTTCACTCTTAAATAGTTATTGATCTAAACAGCCAACCATAGGAGAGTCATCAAGAAAACTAAACAATTGCCACATGATGGAAGATTAGGCACTGCTAAGGATGATGCTTAAAAATAATTTTTCGTATGTTGAGAAAAGACTTGCAATAAGTAAAAAATCAGAATATAATATGCAATAATTGTGTTGTTCTAATTATGTAAAAAATATGTATTAAAATCTAGGTAGTATTTCTTTTTCTTGTTCATCCTGTCTGTGCTTTTCAAAGTTCCAATAATAAGCATGTATTATTTTTGTAATCAGAAAAAGATAAATTTCTTTTTAAAAAAATGTTTTGGAACATGAAAGTTATTCACATTATCCAGTTTTACAGTACTACCTTAAAAGAATTCCTATTCACTCTCAAAATCATTGAACAATTTTTCAAAATAAAAAAAAACTTTACATTTGTATCTAGGCCACAACACTCACACTTGGCATGTGGTCTCTCAGGAAGATATCCCATAATTACAGCAGAACCCAAGAGGAGAGTCTGCAAACTGATTTTTAAAGAGCCAGATAGTACATATTTTAGGCTTTGCAGGCCATAGAGTCCCTGTGGCAACTCCTCGGCTCTGCTGTTGTAGCACAATGGCATAGGCAACGCATAAACAAATGGACGTGGCTGCTTTTGTTTCTGTTTACAGAAACAGGTAGTAGTTTGCCGACCCCTGCTCTAGAACAGTGCTTCTCAGACTTTAATGAGCATATAAATCACCTGGGGATTTAGGGGAAAAGCAGATTCCAATTCAGCAGGTGTGCAGTGCAGCCTAGGAGTCTGCAAGCTTTCAGGTGATGCCATTGCTGCTGGTCTGAGGACGCACTTTGAGCAGCAAGGCAGGGATTCCATTGTATTAGCCACATAACACACAGATTAGAGACTCGTGGGACAGACCTCATTAGGAGACAAAAAATACGCTGTGTTTACCCACAATACATTTGTATTATTGTAACAGCATTTTGATTAATTTTTTTTTTTTTTTTACCCTATGCCCTGTTTTGTTGAAACTAATTAAGGACATTAGTGGGAAATAAATGACTTTAAGTATTTAAAAATAGTTTACTTAAGCAAAATGATTAGTTGACTTTTATGTAGACAAAAATTCATTTACTTACTCATTCAATAAGCATTTATTGGTTGCCTCTAGACAGTAGGTTGCCAATTGCTTGGAATACAGGAATAAAAAGAACACAGTCCCTGTCTTCACAGCGCTCATAATCAAGTGGCAAGGCAAGCATATAAAGAGAGAATTAACTTTATTAAAAGAAATGGGTGGGCCCAAAATAGTTTTTCCTGGAAGCATTCAGATCTTTTTACCAACTTTTAGATAGCAGAGAGAGATGTCATTGCCCAGTGCTGAAAATCCATCCACTTATCAAACTCTGTCATGGATCCATCTAGCTTCTAACAAGTCACAATGGCTACTTCTGTGAATATCCCTTCAAAACTTGCTACCTTAAGGGCATGTTGTGAACGTACCCCAGATTTCCCCAGGATTCATCACTTGAAGTACTCACGAGTTCACACTAACTTTAATAATTCAAGCCTTGACATTTCCACTTGGATGACCAATCGACCTCCCAAACTCAATATGGGCAAACCAAACTCCTGAACTCCCCAAATCTGTACCACCCCACCTTCTTAACTC